GACAGGGACAGCAGCGGGACAACTTGGGAAACTTCTCTGGGGCGGACGGCGGGGACGCCGGTGGAAGAGGATGTAGGAGGGTGGTGGCTGATCCCGGCTGTCCCCCGACCTCAATGGGGCTCCAGCGCCACCGAGGGGGCGACCCCCTCGTCTAGCCGAGCCGGGGCGGCGCTCCCTCGGGCCACGTCCGGCCCCGCCATGGACCACCAGGAGCCCTACTCTGTGCAGGCCACGGCGGCTATCGCGGCGGTCATCACCTTCCTCATCCTCTTCACCATCTTCGGCAACGTGCTGGTCATCTTGGCTGTGTTGACGAGCCGTTCGCTGCGTGCCCCGCAAAACCTGTTCCTGGTGTCGCTGGCCGCCGCCGACATCCTGGTGGCCGCGCTCATCATCCCTTTCTCGCTGGCCAACGAGCTGCTGGGCTACTGGTACTTCTGGCGCACGTGGTGCGAGGTGTACCTGGCGCTGGACGTGCTCTTCTGTACGTCGTCCATCGTGCACCTGTGCGCCATCAGCCTGGACCGCTACTGGGCGGTGAGCCGCGCTCTGGAGTACAACTCCAAGCGCACCCCGCGCCGCATCAAGTGCATCATCCTCACCGTGTGGCTCATCGCAGCCGTCATTTCGCTGCCGCCCCTCATCTACAAGGGCGATCAGGGCCCCCAGCCTCTGGGGCGCCCCCAGTGCAAGCTCAACCAAGAGGCCTGGTACATCTTGGCCTCCAGCATCGGATCTTTCTTCGCTCCCTGCCTCATTATGATCCTCGTCTACCTGCGCATTTATATGATCGCCAAACGCAGCAACCGCAGAGGTCCCAGGGCCAGGGGGGGCCCTGGGGAGGGTGAGTCCAAGCAGCGCCGCCCTGGCCCTGGGGGGGCCTTGGCCTCAGCCAAGCTGCCAGCGCGGGCCTCTCCGCTGGCTTCTGCGGGACAGGCCAATGGACAGTCCAAACCCACTGGGGAGAAGGAGGAGGGGGAGATCTCTGAAGATCCTGGGACCCAGACCTTGCCACCCAGCTGGACTGCTCTTCCCAACTCAGGCCAGGGCCAGAAGGAGGGTGTTTGTGGGGCGTCTCCAGGGGAGGAGGCTGAGGAGGCTGAGGAGGTGGAGTGTGAGCCCCAGGCCGTGCCAGTGTCGTCTGCCTCAGTTTGCAGCCCACCCCTGCAGCAGCCGCAGGGCTCCCGGGTGCTGGCCACCCTACGTGGCCACGTGCTCCTGGGCAGGGGTGCGGGTGCTGTGGGCGGGCAGTGGTGGCGTCGGCGGGCGCAGCTGAGTCGGGAGAAGCGGTTCACCTTCGTGCTGGCCGTGGTCATCGGCGCCTTTGTGCTCTGCTGGTTCCCCTTCTTCTTCAGCTACAGCCTGGGCGCCATCTGCCCTCAGCGCTGCAAGGTACCCCATGGCCTCTTCCAGTTCTTCTTCTGGATCGGCTACTGCAACAGCTCGCTGAACCCCGTCATCTACACCATCTTCAACCAGGACTTTCGCCGTGCCTTCCGAAGAATCCTTTGCCGCCAGTGGACACAGACGGCCTGGTGAGCCTGCCTGCCGCTGCCTGTGTGGGGTTGGTGCCAGGTGGCACCAGGGCTATCCTGTTTCTTGCCCTGCTTTGTGTGGCTGCCTCCCTGGGGCTTTCTGGTCCCTGCCCAGATCCTGCAGGCCTCATCGCAGGAGCCCTCTGGGAGGGGTAGGGCAGAGGTTCTCTTCACAGGGATCCAGCTGAAACCTCCCCTTGCTGTCTCAGCTGTGGGGGGACCTCTTCTCCACCTCCTGCCTGACCTTCCTGAATGTAGCAAAGGCCAGGCTAGAACAAAGCACCTCCCTCCCAGAGCCCCAGACCCTTACAAGCCAATGGGTGGGCTTCCCTTTCTTGAGGACCCTGTGTTCTTTGGCAAGTCACTTGCTTGTGGTGTTTTTGTTTCTTTTTCATCTCCCCACTTCATCCTCCCCACAAAGAGCAGGAAGCCAGCCTTCCACTTTTCCCAGGAGAGCCTGCTGCTGAGGAGGAGGAAGAAACGAAGACTGTTCACTCACGTTGGGCACCATGGTCCCCATCAGGCACTGTGATGGGGGCTTTATGGGATGGTATTGTCTCTGGGCCCTTCTCCCCTCCCCCCCTTTGGATCTGTGGTTCCTTTAAAGGCCAGAACCATGGATCGATTTCCTTACCCAGCGCCCCTCTGGGAGGCGGGTGGGCACATGGGTGTCACAGCAGGTGGGGCCGTCTGGAGGCCCGGCCTGTCCCTCGACGGGAGATCCCTGATTGCTGGCATTAACCCTCTGCAAAAACCCAGGCGACAATAGCCTGCCGCCTTCTTGCTGCAGGGAGATGAAAGGCTTTGCAGAAAGCTTTGAGCTCCGTGGGGGAACACACTAGAGAACCAGAAAATGTGATTACCCGGTGATATAAAAATCCCTTTTCTCTGTGTTTACCACCACCTGTCTTCCTGTAGACTTTTGTTCTGTGCCTGGGGTGTGTGAATTCCTACCCCAAACTGGAAGCGGGGTGTGGCAGACAGAATCACTATTTCAAGTTAAAGGTTTTCTTTGGGAATGTGTTCATGTGCCCGCAAACGTTTGAGTTATTATGCTGCATGACAACTTCTCAACATTTCACCTGCAACACCAAGAGAGTTTTCAGTGGCTTGGGCCGCCTCCCTTCCCCCAATGGGGGATGAGTCTTTTGTCATAAAGCAGGCAAATTGTTTCCACAAGACAGTTAAAAATACCCACACCATGGGAACAGTCTAAGATGAGAGCGTGTGGCGGGTGGCAGAGCCCCCAGGTGGGGTGCTGGGGCTGGAGCAGGTGAGTTTCCCACTGGAGTACCCAGGCAGGTCTCCAAGCCCCAGAAGCATAACTACCCCCCCCCAGGTGGGTGCCTGCTTACTGTCTGGACCCAGCCACGTGACTCCCCTGCACTGATGGGGTTCTGCACTGAGGGGCCTCTCTCTCCTGGTGCCTGGAGCAACTGGGAGGACTTCAGGGATGTTTCCCAGTCTTCCCCACTGGGAATGCCTGGCTTCCTGGGCCAGTGGGCACCTTAGCTTGGCGGGTGGGCTGAGCGGAATGGGAAATGTTGGCACTCCAATGGGCCTGCCAGATTTGGAAGGATGATGAGGGAGTTTTCTGGGGTGGAGAGAACCAAGGGGACCAAAGAGTCCCTTCTGGGGAGGAGGGCTCTATGGCTTGGTACCTGGTGGGTTGCAGTTGTGAGGCCAGGGTGTGGCTGGGGGAGCTGGGCTCAGGGGAGGGACTGATTTGTGACCGTCTGCTTGCCGATCTTGTGTGTGCCCTGTGGGACCCCCTGGTATTGTGGCCTGAGGCCTTTTCTTGTGACATGCAGGTGTTTTTTAAAAGTCTGAGCTATTTTATCAATAAAGGATATTTTGTAATAAGTGAGCTGTGTCCTCATTGCCCAAGGGCTGCCAGGAGTAGTTATTCCTCAGCTACTTGCCTGGCAGACTCTGGGTGTCCGCCCAATGAATTGGGGCTCCCTCCCAGGGCCAGTTCTCTCCTCCCCCAACAAATGTGTCTGGCTGGTACCTTCCCCCCACCCCCACCTGCCTTTGTCCACCCAGCATCCTTAATCACCATAACAAGCCAGTGGGGTTGAGGGTGACCAGAGGATCCTGAGACTGGCTGCCTGGGAAGGAAGAGAAGGGAAGGCTTCCCAGAAGAGGTGGCCTTTGGCTTGGGTATTGTGGGAAGAGCAGGAGTACACTAAGAGGCAAGGCAGGAAGGTGTTCCGGGCAGGAAAAGGGCATATGCAGAGGATGTTGTGCTGGGGACATTCGTGACAGAGTTTGAGACAGCCCCAAGCTAGCCCTGCTGGTGGCCAGGTGCAGCAGCACGGGGCCAGCAGAGAGGGCGGGAGGAACATGTGGAGGGAGCGAGGGCCACTGTGCAGAAGGGATGAAGCCGCTGTCCTCGGTGAGGGGCAGGACAGCCCTGCTGCAAGCCGTCCCATGCTGAGATTTGGCCACAGCAGCAGAGCTGGAAGGCCCGTGGAGGCCATTTCCATCAGTCTCCTCATTTCCCAGATGAGGTATTTGAGGCCCCAAAGCCCCCCTGTCCCCTAGCTGCCTCGGAGAGTCAGCCTCTGGGGCCCAAACCAAAGTGGCCTGGTTCCACGGGGAA